TGCGTGATATAAAGTCGCAATTGCGAGGCTAGTGAAATTCTGGCTTTATAATACGCAAATTGGAGATATAAAGTCAGAATTGCATGATATAAAGTCGCAATTGTGTGTTATAAAGTCAGAATTGTGAGAGAACTATTCTGAGGTAAAATTTTACTTTATTACTCGCAATTGCGACTTTATATCTCACAATTCTAAGAAAACATGTCAGAATTGGGAGATATAAAATCTCAATTATGTGTTATAAATTCAGAATTGCGAGAAAAAAGTCAGAATTTCGACTTTATAATACCAATTGGGAGATATAAAGTCAGAATCGCATGATAAGTCGCAATTGCGTGTTATCCTAATGTCAGAATTGTGAGATATTAAACTATTCTGGGGTTAAAAAAATAAGCAATTTTTTTCCCTTAGAATTTGACTTTATAATTTGCAATTGCGAGTTTATATCTCACAATTATGAGAAAAAATTTCAGAATTGGGAGACGTAAACTCCCAATTATGTAGGCCTATTATAAATTCAGAATTGCAAGGAAAAAAAGGCAGAATTTCTGACTTTATTTCAAGCAATTCTGACTTTATAACATGCAATTGAGACTTTACATCTTGCATACTGACTTTATTTCTCAGAATTGTGAGATATAAAGTCAGAACTGCGTTAAATAAACTCGCAATTGTGAGGAAAAAGTCGCAATTATATATTTTTAAAGGTTTTATTCTGTGGCGGAAATGAGCTTCCATACTCAAGTGACCATTTATATTTAACTTTATTCTTCTTGGAAGATCAAAGCACGTGCGATCGTTCACCAACTCTCTACTCTCTCTACACCTACTCTAACTATATAATCAATTCTTAATGCGCATATGAACGCCATCAGCGTTTATCACAGGTTCTTAAACATTATTTAAGAACCGCTATAAAGCCAAAACAATCTCATTTACCTTAAATTATATGTTTATCTCTGCTTTGAAACAATCTACATTGTTAAAATCGCTATAAATGAAGTTGACTTGACTTGACTAGTGCGCATGCGTATATGACGTCAGCAAAACACACCTCCATCCACTACGTATTGGACCATCCAGCTACGTCATCGTGCTACAGGCTGCAGCGAGGACCTCTTGGAAAATATGGTAATTTTTGTGCCCATCTCTATTAATTCCTTTATTTATTGAGCATAAACTCAAAACAAAACAACGACACATTTAAATGGAAGCCTTACTTAACCTTTTCACACGTAAGTTTAAAAGTTTTTAGAGGCGCCCGTTATTTAGATCATATCCCTTTATGGTTTCCATGGTGACGCGTCATTGCTTGTCACACCGCAGCCACAATAGCGCTGAATGACTGATTATCTGCTTTTATTTCACAAATGTGTTGGCTATAGCAGGAAATATCTGATATTCCGATTGTCAAATATGAGCAAGTGGATGTGTTTTGTTGTTTAAACACCTTAGTTGAGCTATACGCGATGGGCGCTAGTTTATGCCGGATTTTAGAGGATCGGACCTGTTGGATTTAACAAACGTCAATTTATCCACTTCTCCCGAAATGAAAGTAACGTTAAGTGGCTGGTGAACTGGGAGAAGCATAGAGTAAACTTGAAATTTACTTACACGATGTGTATTTGATATGAATAATACGTGTCGTCTAATTATAATGGAAATAATTATTATTCCCGCTTCCATAGACATAAGTGTGTATTTGACAAACTCTAAATGTATTGCTTTTTAATAACTTATTTATGTGAATGTAAATGTCTGAAACCTAAAATAAACATTATGTGGTTGAAAACACTGAATAGTTGTGATGTCAAGCGGTGAGCGGCGATTTTCTGGTTCAGAAAATATGTGTAGCCTACTAAAAAACCGGCTCATTGCAGACATTAAATCACTTAATTTTGAACTTTCAAAGTGCACCATATTTATGATTTTTTTTTAAAACGTACAAACTTTTCTTCCGGGGAGCGTGCCCCCGGACCCGGGTGCAGAGGTCCACACCACACACAAAATACTGTGGGAAACACAGTAGCTTATTATGATAGTCTTCGAAAAATACAAAATACAATTATTATTATAAAATTTCCTAAAATACGTACATTATTAGGATTTTACCACCTCCGCCTCGTTTTGAGCCAGGAAAAACCCTGAGATTTTTATTATTCTTTTTCAATTTTGTTTGTTCTTTTTGGATGCAGTTTGCGAAGTGACAAAATAAAGCAAAGCACATTTAGTCCACACTTTTATTTTCTCCGTTTCTGAATTTGATGTTATCAGAGGCAAAATACAAACACAATTGCATTATTATTTTTATCTACTGTCATGTTTATGTTTTTTAAATGTAATGTTAATAAAATACATTTTAACTTAAAGCTTAGTTTATTAACATTTTGTTGGGGCGATTGCATGAGGACAGGTGGGGCACGAACCCTTCCCTACCTTCAAAGTGGGGAATGGCAGAAAAAGTTTGAGAAACACTGCGTTAGACCAAGTGAAACAGCGCTGCGTTCCCTCACAAGTTTCATTCGTCTAATAAACTGACCTGTGTGAGTAATCCAGCACTTGCGTGTAGTTCTGTAGAATTAAATGTCCTTATTCCTTTATATCTGCGGGACTCGCGTGTGATATCTGTCTCTTTAGCAATCGCGACCTGCTTCATACCACTGTTATGTTAAAAAACATGAGTGTTTTCAAACATCCATAAACATTATTAGATCCATCAGCTTGACAGCAAGTCCCATCATTCAGCTCGTCACTGCGTCATAAACATACGCATTTGTTATTGTTGGAAACTGCGCCCTCTTGTGGCCAAAAAAGCTACATATTGTACCTTTAACTGCTTCTATTGTTCTCATTTGTAAGTGGCTTTGGATAAAAACGTCTGCTAATTGAATACATGTAAATGAGGCATAGCTTGAAGAGAGGCGGAGCCAAACCCCTATGTAGGGGTGGAGGGCAGGAGAGCAGCGAATGGCCCTCAAGTCCGTGGCGATGTCTGACCCAGGCGGAGCCGATGGGCCGAGGGAGTCCAGTGGAGCTTAAAGCTCGAAGGCTGCTGGGCGATGGGTCGATGGGATCTGAGCCACAGGATCTCCACGCCTGGGAGAAGCTGGCTCACATCAGGCCCCAGGTGTAGCTGCGCCACTGAGAGGAGGCTGATGAGGAACTCGGGGGTTGATTGGAGACCGCAAGGACTGGGTAACAGGTGTGGCTGAGGGCTGGAGAAGGGACTGAAGAGGAACAAAGGGACTAGCAAAAACAACAAAATTCAGGGCAGATGTATGGAGAGGAGGTGGGAGAGGGAGGCTGGGCGGGACCAGCTCATCAAAAATAGAGAAGACAGGCGCAGTCAAGTCAAGTCACCTTTATTCATATAGTGCTTTATACAATAGATTGTTTCAAAGCAGCTTTACAGTGAAAACAGGAAAATAATGCAACAAAGTTTGTTTCTAGAAGAAAATAGCATCATAGTCCAGTAAGTTATGGTTCATTTTTGTTGTAAAAAAGTTATTAATTAATTTATATTTATAGCCACTCTGGAGAAAACCGTGATGTCATTGTCCAGCTCAGTTCAATTCAGTCCACTAAGCATCAATGAGGCTTACGATCACTCAGATCCAAACACAAAACCTGTGCTAATGGGAAGAAAACCAAGTTGACCAAAAGACCGAATCCAGCACCCGATGACAATATAGCATGATGAGACATTTACAAGGCCAGTCATTCACATCAAATTAAGTAAAGCACAAGCTGCATTTGTTTGTTACACATGCATGAATCGAGCGACCAGTGTGCCGTTACACTCCTCCTGAACTACTAAACACAGTTGTCCAACTTTAATACCTCAGGTATTGAGGGAGGGATTAAAGGAGGTAGGGGATCCTCATCTGCAAAATCAAAATAATAGTCCTCATGAACTCCCTCGGCGTCGGATGATGCAGCCGGCTCGCGTACGCTGGGTTCTGGGTCCGGAGTGTCACCTGTTCAGACAATTATCTGATAAAGACATGACATGTAAGGGATAATGTACATCCAGCCGGTTGTTCTCCAAGAATAAACCCCCGAAAGGGTGATCAGGATCAGGATCCCCATCAACCTGAAGGGGGTTTATTTTGAGATAACAACTGGCTGGATGTACATTATCCCGCTTATTACACGGCTACTTGCCACATAAGTAAATAATTAGACACAAAATATTGATCGGAGTTGAAATGTTTCATTAACGCAAAGCTTCTGCGGACAGAGCAGTTGCTAGCGCGGCAAGTTCAGACTAGACGGACATTTAAGAGATACGCTATACAGTCATACCACTTATTACACGGCATTTCACTTGACTGAGTTTTAATATTTTATAAGCTTACCAAATCCAAAACTTCCAAGGAGAAAAAACATTCCTAGCAGGCGTATAGCGCTGCTGACTTCAGTGACCCGAATGAGCCTGTGTTTCTGTTTCCAGAGGTTGTTATCTGGGAATTACTTACCGCTGGATGGCGTGATTGACCAATCAGAATCAAGTATTCCAAAGAGCCGTGTAATAAGGCTAAATAAATTACAAGGGCTTCTCTCCAGTGTGACAACTCATGGGGACTTTTTAAGTGTCTGTTTTGACTGAAACTTTTCCCACACTTCTTGAGTGAATTCTCAAGTGGCAATTAAGGATTCCTTTATGGTAAATGGACTGCATTTATATAGCGCTTTCACAGACCCAATGGCCACCAAAGCGCTTTACATTTTGCCTCACATTCACCCATTCACTCACTCATTCACACACCGACGGCGGTGTCAGCCATGCAAGGCGCCATCCAGCTCGTCGGGAGCAGCTGGGGTTAGGTGTCTTGCTCATGGACACCTCGACACTTGGTCAGGTGGAACCGGGGATTGAACCACCAACCTTCTGGTTTGTAGACAACCTACATGAACCACTGAGCCCCATGTTTTTATGTTTGAAACACTTTCCACACTGATCACATGTGAATGGCTTCTCTCCGGGTGTGAATCAGATATATTCATGTGATATCCAAGGTTTATTTCTGTTGTGAAACTCTTTCCACACTTTAGGTAGGTGTAAGCTTCTCTCCATTGTGAATTGACATGTGCCTTTTAAGGTTTCCTTTTTGAGCAAAACTCTTTCCACACTGTTGGCAAATGAATGCCTTCTCTCCAGTGTGAATTCTCATGTGTTTTTTAAGGTTTCCTTTATCAGTGTGGCTCTTTCCACACAATGTGCAGGTAAAAGGCTTCTCCCCAGTGTGAATTCTCATGTGACCTTTAAGATGTCCTTTTTGAATGAAACTCTTTCCACACTGTTGGCAGGTGAACGCCTTCTCTCCAGTGTGAATTCTCATGTGATTCTCAAGTCTTCCTTTTTGAGTGAAACACTTTCCACACTGTTGGCAGGTGAAAGTCTTCTGTTCAGAGTGAATTCTCATGTGGCCTGTAAGATGTCCTTTTTGAATGAAACTCTTTCCACACAATTTGCAGGTTAAAGGCGTCTCTCCATTGTGCATTCTCCTCATGTGATCCTCAAGGTTTGCTTTTTTGATAAAACTCTTTCCACACTGTTGGCAGGTGAAAGGTTTCTCTCCAGTGTGAACTCTTATGTGGACTTTAAGGTGTCCTTTTTCAGTGAAGCTCTTTCCACACAATTTACAAGTAAAAGGCTTCTCACCAGTGTGAATTCTAACATGCCTGTTAAGGACTACTTCTTGAGTGAAACTCTTTCCACACTGTTGGCAGGTAAAAGGCTTCTCTCCAGTGTGAATTCTCATGTGTATTTTAAGGATTCCTTTATCAGTGAAACACTTTCCACATTGTTGGCAGGTGAAAGGCTTTTCTCCAGAGTGAATTCTTATGTGCTTGTTAAGGTTTCCTTTTTGCGTGAAACTCTTTCCACACTGATTACATTTATATGGCTTTGCTCCAGTGCTCCATTTTTCTCCAGTTATGAAATCATGATGTTCCCCATACTGATCTTTCTCTTCCATTTCATTTAGTTCTTGACTCTCCACTTTCAGTGCCATCAGATCTAAAAAAGACAAATACTATTAAACCCAACTTTAATGGCACAAAACAACAGAGATCAATACATTAACACATTTAAAGCATCAAAACCAAAAACATGTATGCTATATCCTATACCCACTAAGCTACTGAAAGAGGTGTTGCCTGTAATCTCAGAAAATGTTCTCATTATTCACAACGTTTTGCTTTCTTTAGAACACATTCCAAAATCTTTTTCCACTGCCAAAGGTATATTATGGAAGTGTGTGTCACCTCTGTTGTCAATAGCCAATCACAGTTCTGGAAGTGAAAAGCACCAAATTGCAATCCTCCTCATCATAACGGGATAATTTACCTTTTCAAGAGACCCAGTCCATCCAGTAAGAGAATAACAGACACGATACAATATTCTGCATTTCTATCCTGATAGAGAATATCCTGTACTGTTAAGACATTAACAGATAGTCAACTTAAGTCAAGTCAAGTTTATTTGAATAGCGCTTTAAACAATACATGTTGCTTCAAATCAGCTTTACGGCCATACACAGAAAATTATTCAATGATGCAAACAGAATTCAATTCTTCTGTAAAGCAGCTGTAAAGCAGCTATATAAAGAAAATAGTGTCATTGTTCAGCTGAAGTCAGTTCAGTTCCATTCAATAACTGTGAACATTTCATCAATTATGAATCGAGTTCAATTTGACTATAAAGCAGCTCTGCAGAAAACAGTGATGCCCAGCACAATTCTGTTCTCATCCAATAGTGTTGTCAGTGCAGTCAAATCAATAATATTGCTGAATATAAAGTATCCCTAAATAAGAGAGCCAAAGGCGACAGTGGCAAGGAACCCAAACTCCATCGGGGTGACAGAAATCGAGAAGAAAAAACCTTAGGAGTTCTCCCCTGGCTAAACGAACAAAAATGGTGTGATTATGATTTCAGGCTGCATCACAATTCAGATTTTGTATCATTCAAAAATATTCATCCTTTCTAATTGAAGATCGGGATTCATCACACAAAAATGGAGATGAAGCTGGCCATAGGGGTCTGTGCAGACGACTTTGGTATGTTTCGTCACGTCAGGCCGCAAAGAAATATAGTCTCAAGTCTAGTTTATTTATAGAGCCCTTTCCACTACAAAGTAGACCAAAGGGCTGTACAGTTAAAAGCAGTCTACAGGTAGTAATAAATAATAATAAAACAACACAAGACAATGGAGACGTATAGAGCTATCTTCAGTGTAGCAGTGAAAACTAATGCCATGTTTCCTAAGGATATATTTCAAGGGTTGCATGCACAGGGTGAAAAGCAACAGTCCTAGTACAGAGCCTTGTGGTACTCCATATTGAACTACATACACCATGTTCTGAGTCTCTCGTCTGTTAGGTAGGAAGCAGCAATATACAAGTTCCACGTCTCTGGTCTGTTCAGAGGAGTCAACAACAGATTCATCTCCATTATTATTATTATCGATCCGTGTTTAAACTTTGTTTGTGCAGTTCCTTCAACATGTGCTTTCCTCCAGATGAAACGAAAAGAAAGAATTCAGAACTCAAATTCAATTAAGAATTATTCATTAGGACAACAACTGAAAATTCTTTATCATGTCCGAGTAAAGTAGTGCAAGTTGGGGGTAATATAAAAAAGTGGCTCCACCTTTTATGGCGCGGACGAAGCTATAGCTAACATTAACACTATTTAACTGAAGGTAGCTGACTAGCTGGACTGTTAGCTCATGGTTTCGTTGCAGCTTGGCAAAGAATTAGTCACTTTGTAGGCTAGACGCCATTTTTATTGAATGCAATTTACATGAATATTATTTACGAGCACTAGTGATGCGCGGATCGGGGTTATGTCACGGAGCGTGGGCGCTACGGATAATCCCCGGATTAAGCTGGTCAAGTAATAAAAATAACATTCTGATTAATTTCGGTGGGTCGCGGGTGGATATGATAAATCATTATTAACGAAAATATTAACTACATTCTCTAAAATATGAGCTAAAATGAGCATGTCTACAATGTATCTTTTTTTCCGCCAGGCAGACAGGCACTTATTTGCACTCTCTTTAACCCTCTGGGGTCTAAGGTGTTTTCGGGGTCCTTGAGATGTTTTGGCATGCTCTGACATTTGTGCTTTTTTCAGTTGCTTATAAACATATTAATGGCACAGGTGAAATTACACTCTATATAGCACACACAGGGCTACCATAATATGTTATCAACATGTATGTACATGTTTGTATTTTTGAGAGAATATTGTTTATGCGTGGTTATTGAAAAAACTAAAGTTTCTAATATAAGGCCACAAATAACATACTAAATATCTGTCCACAAGACTTTTGACTAGTGGATGTTGTCGCCTTGAGTTTTTGCTTCAAATTGATCTGAAAATCATTCTGCCTTATCATTCACATAAAACAATAGATTGTTTTAAATTGTGAAAAACATTTTTTTGTTTGCAAAGGCAATATGCGGATGGGCGGAACGGCCCAACCCCCTCATGAATAATTAGGCAGTTCTCACCTGAGCAGACTGCATACTAATGAGCCTTTCATTCAGGGGTGTCACACAAGAAAGAATGCAAGGACAATATATATATAGATAAATAAATATTTATACACACACACACACACACACACACACATATATATATATATATATATACAAACAATCAAAATATAAATGAAAGCCAAAAGCACATTTTTAGTCACACCTTTTAGCCATCCACCGCGGTAAAAATAAACCAGTCGCATTTCAAAGTCGTTCGCGAAACGACCGCCAGGTGGCGCAAAGGGACATTTAGCAAAACGTAAGTGGGGCTAATGTCTATTAACAGTAGCCTATAAGGATGAAATACTACAAGTTATGGTAATTTCCAAATAAGCCTACAACAAATTGTTGGTATAATCTATATAAGATATAATCTTTTAAAACTGTAAAAGGTTAAACACTCACAGGCTAAAGTCAAGACAAAACGTTTTCTCGCTCATGTGAGAAACAGACGTTTAGGTATTTCTCAGTGAGAAAATTCATAGCCGAGCGGTAGAACTTACGGTTCATCACCAAGATGACACGGGTTCAAATCCCGCAAAAACATGGTCTTCTGTAAATTTTATATTTATTTAGATTTGTCTAGCTCTAAAACTCTGTTACACCATACAGTTTTTTTGCTTATATGTATAAAACAATTATCATGCATTTCCATTTTAGACTAAGGAACAAAATAGTATCCAACAGAACGACTTTGCATCTGTATAATAATAGGCTACCAATCGTAATTTAAAAAGCAGTTCTGTAAAAAAAAAAAATATATATAGCCTATATATATAGGCTATATATTTTTTTTTTTATTTGATTCCAGGCTCTCACGCCACACCCCCGATTTCTCCCGCTGAAGTGTCAACCCGGTCGGTCAAATTCCTGAAAGAAATAGTTTATCTATAGATCTACCTGTTGAGCCACTCGTGATCGACTAGTTATACCGCAAATTAGTTCAAATATCCCGTAATCTATCTAGAGCGAGCGTGCATGCGAGACAGATATTGTGCTCCAAACCGTGCGCGCGCATGGCAGAGAGGTCTGTTCCCTACAACCTAGAGTTTTTAAAAACATGGTTTTAAGTAAAGTGTGATTTGCCAGGGGGGACTGGGATTTCCTTCTGGTCTAAACATCCCTGCTTCTGCTGAATTATTTTAATCCCCACACCCCTCCCTCCAGAGCTAATCAATGCTATAGGCTACTTCACCAATATCAAATATATAAAATAGAGATATGCAACAGGCACGTTTAAACGACAAACAATAAAATCAAAACCAGCGTTTCAGTTGTTCATTAGTTCCAGTGGCCCTAATGCATGCACGGCTTTTAAAAATTTCACAAAGCGTGTTGAGATTATATTCACATAATGCTTACCTTTTATACCACTGTTGAATCAGATCGACTGCATTAATATTATGAACAGCAGCTACGCTAATTATTTCCCTTCTGCTTTCTGCTGTTATCTCGGGACGCTAGTCCCGAGGTAAATAGCGTTCGTCAGCTCCAGTTTGTATCCAGCCTCTCACGGAGACTTCAGATGCTCCAACACCTGCGATGAGACGACTCGACGCCTGTAAAGAGACGACTCAACGCCGGCGATATGTTATGCCCTAAATTACAGTTTTTCTCGATTGCTTAAACACTATAACCAGGCTTTTGAGCTAAAATTTCAAAACCATAATGCCATTTATCAAAAAGCACACCCATTTCACTGAACTATGAACACTATTCCCCTGTTTTGACACATTAGTCAGATTTGTTGAACTGTCACAGCAAAACTCTACACACAAATCCCTTCATTTCTCATTGCCTACACTACATGGTCATTTAGAAAGCACTAGCATTCAAAATTGTTCACTCAAGTCAGCACAGCTTCAGCTCAGTTAGCACACAATTACCCAGGTGAAAACACTAAGAGTCAAAATTGAACACACATCAGTCAGATCCTTCAATAGATAGATAAAAGCTTATACAATCTTTTATAAAAGATAAAAATTAGTTTACTGAGTTTTGGAACAATGGATCCACAGAGAAATTAAGCAATAGGTCGAGGAGGATGAGGAGGAGGATGAGGAGGAGGAAGAGGAGGAGGAGGAGGGAGAGGAAGAGGAGGAGGAAGAGGAACAGGAGGAGTTAGAGGAAGAGGAGGAGGAGGAGGAGGAGAAGAAGAAGGAGGAGGAGGAGGAAGGGCAAGGGCAAGAAGACAAGCAGTCTCGGATGAAATTCAAGCCACTTTAGTTGGCCATGTCCTTGTCCATATGACTATGAGGGAGGCTGGGCAAAGAGTACAGCCAAATTTGAGTCGCTTCACCGTCGCCTCCATCATCAGAACCTTCAGGAAGGTGTGGTGGCAAACACATTTCTATCACTGAATAAGAGACAAACATTTCCAATTGTCTTTGATGAGGTTTATGTTCTTGCAAGAAAAGGCCAGCAGTCGTACAGTCACACAGAGTGGCTGCAGAGTGTGACAGTGAAGGGAGG